CCGTAGTTGACTCCTTTACCGTCATCTCACGGTACTTTCTTACGCTGTAAATTTTTACAGCCCTAATTAGGCGAGCTTTATCGGGGAAATATATGCCCTTTGCCAGCACCGCTGGTCTAGACTCATCCCACATTGCTGACCGAACTTCGTCATAATCCTTTGTGAGGGCATCCACGTCCGGCATACTTGGCAGATTATTAAGGTAGGGAATATTCTGCTCATGAAACGGCACGTGGGACTCGTACACTCTTGGTCTAACGGGAGGTGGAGGAGCATGCTCCCTCGTCAGCTCAGGTTCGGCATCCACTTCCTCATCATCATCACCCTCATCAAGGAAGGGTGTGTCATCTCCAGACTCATCGACATTGTTGTCGTAATCACTATCATCTTCCTGACGCTGCGCATCTGCCAAATCACGAGTCAATACATCGTCTATGGGCAACTGTGTGAGATCAGGAACATCAAGTTGCTCGTTTTCACTGCACAAAAAGAACAAAATGATAAGCTACTCAACTAGATAAATACTTTACATATAGCTATATCACTTTACTTACAAGTCGTACTATGTTGACGTTCCATGATGGATATTTTCTTGTTGGTAATGACTCTCGGATTGACCACCGTCGTCCAACACGCCAGAACTATGCATATGCCAACTAGGAGCGGGGTCATAACTTGTAAAATTCATATTCGGACGGTACACCCTATGAAAAATATGAGTGTTAATACAAATCCAATTCAAATATAAAATAAACATTGCTAAAGCGTAGAAAAATTGAAGTTTACCAGTCGTCTTGTGGATTATATAAAGTCGAAAAATTATTTTATGGCTGCTCATTNCTTTCATCAGGAATCTGTCCGGCAAAAACTGCTCCAGAATAACCACCCGATGACTGGGGGTTATCCCTACTATGCACACCCTCATTATTGGGAACGTCTTCAACCTTGACGTACATTTTCAATAATTTTATTACAATAAATTCCATGTATTTATCCGGAATCCGCAAAAAATCTCTAAGAGTTTCATCATCTTCGATGTTAAACTCAGAATAATAAGCAAACCCCTGCTGAGTCACAGAATACAGAAATCTACCGGTTACTTTAAGGTTCATCGAACGTTTCCTCACACTCATTTTTTTTACATAACAACGACACCAATTTATCGTACTCCATTGTAAGCAGCAATTTAACATGACACTGTGGAGGTGAACTATACCTTATAGAGTTATTCTCCATTACAACCTCATCCCTCTCCCCCCTCCAATATAATGAAACCCTTATTTTGTGGCTCTTCAGACATTATAAAAAAATGCTTGATAAGAAGAAGAGAAGTATGAACGGAAGTTTGAAGGAAAGTTTTGAATGGATTTTCATAAAATTCTAACGCCTTTAAATAAGGCAAGTCCTAACTTGCGTTGTAGAATATTTTTATGTAAAATGCAGTATAATACCACGTTTTATGTATTTGAATTATTGTTATGTCAGTTATCCGGAGAACACTTATTGGTGGGCCCAAAAATTAGTGTAAAACGCAGTGTAATACTGCGTTTAAGTAGAACGTAGTATTATAATACGTTTTACACTAACAAACAAATGTCAGTCCTGCAGAACACTTATTTGGTGGGCCCAAATTGTTGTAAAATGCAGTATTATAATGCGTTTTAGGTAGAAATGTAACCCTTTTTTTAACTGTATAAACATATTTTATGCCCAAAAAGGCATCATTTCAATTTCGGACTCTGCTTTATTTGTCCTTCATTATTGTTTTAAAGATATTTTACACCAGCGGCCTCTTGGAAACATCTTGTTGGTTTAAAATTGAATGAATATGATTCTGATAATGTTAAGTTATTTAATGTCCTCATGAATTTATGCTTTCACTATAAGTATTGTTTATGGGTGCACCAAAAAAGCCTTTCAAATTAGCTATCTTAACACATTTTGAGAACAGAGACTTAGCTTTCGAATTTAAATTTAAAAACGTTTAAATAGATAAATAATCAAAATTTGTTATCCCTTGTTTGGTTACTAATCTTGGGTTATCCCATAATTAAAAATAGTAAAGCAGAAAAATTGACAATCCTAGAACTAATACAACATATCAATCAGTCAATAAGAAATAATATCAGAATAATTAATCCCAACATAATTTATATTCAAATAATTTTCTTTCTTCTTTTTCCTCATTCGTTAGCTATACCCGAAAAGAGCATATGCATTTCGCGATTCTCTCCATTTCAGAAGTACTAACACTTATTTGCCCACCTAGCTAAAACAAAATGAAGGAATCTGTTCTGCATTGATTTGTGTTTTGATTTTGTTTTATTTTATTACTCCATTATATGAGTATCACGAACCGATTGTGTGAGAATTGTTTTGTTGTGATATTATTGACATGTTTCTGTTTTGCTTTGTTTTATTTCAGTTCAGTACAAAACTTTGATATATGTACGGAGATAAAACAAAGATTGATACTCCATTATGCTAAGATAATTTGTTTGATTTGTTTTCTGTTTCGATTTTGTATAGTTGTCCAAACGTACGGCACTCGTTGAAGAAGTACCTCACAATCATTCTCTGCTGTCTCACTGGCAACGGATACAGACTTTTATATTCTCTTTTAGGTGCAAATACTATGTGTTCATTCTGTTTGATGTTGAACAAGACGCAAGTTGCATAGGAAGACTTATAATAAATACAACATAATATTTTCAACCTCTCCAACTGCTACTAATTCTTATATACATTTTCTTTTGTTTTTTTCGTGATCAGCATAGAAAGAAAAGCGAAATATGCTAAGACCCATAATTACAAAATTTAGGAGGAGGGGGGGTCGACCCAACCAGACGCTGAGCCTGTTAAATTTGATGTATATTCTGCTGCAAACACTATAGTTAAAAATAAATAGAAGATAGTTTCAAGAGTTGTGACCCTTTGGGTTATTAAAGGACACAACAGAATTTGGTTTCAATAATTTGATCTTCTTTTCCTCAACACAGTGAACAGATTAAAGAACTGGGACGTGTAACCAAAATGTGGTTCTTTTGGACTCAAAGTACACAAATAGGTGATAAAAAAAAGTTACATTTTTATGTATAGTGCCACAATACCTGGCGTTATACATTAACGATAACCGCACCACTAATGTATAGCGCCAGATATTGTGGCGCTATACTGCAAAAGCTGACACGGCACAGGTATAGCGCCACAATAATTGGCGCTATACCCCTTTTTTAAAATTCCATCCATCTTCTTCACCGTTTCTTCTTCCATTATTTAACTCATCTTCTCTTCTTGGTCCCCCCTATATCCGTTGCTGCCCTCCATTTAAAAAAGAAAAATTCTGGGTCCCCCCGGCACATAAAACTTGAAGAACGCAGGTCCCACATTCGAGTAGAGCTTCGTGTCATTGTTGATTCACACTTTCGGAGTCAAAATTTCAATCTTTTTACTTTTCGAAAATTCTAAATCAAGGTATTTCGATTTATTTTAAGTTGAAACATTTATAATAATGCATACTATTTGATTTATATGTGTTCTATTTCGGTTTGTGTTTTTTTTTTCGAAACTAGCATGTTAAATTTATCCGGATTTAATATTAGTGTTTTCTAAAAAAAACATAAATTTGTAAAATAAATTTGTCTGTTAATATCCTGATTTATATATGTGTGTTTTCATGCCGTTTTGTGTTTTATTTGCAATTAAATTTATTTGTTGTTTATGTTTAGTTTAGATTATTTTTTTAGCGTAGTAAAATCTAGACCTTTTTAGCGTAGTAAAACGTAGACCCTTTTAGCGTAGTAAAATTTTAAGCCTTGTAGCGTAGTAATGTGTAGTATTTTAGCTTAGAATTCCTTTTGTTTAAGTTTCTTATACTGGTTGTTGAAAATGCAAACTTTGTACAATTAAGTTAATAATTGTAT